TGGAAAACCGGTATTTGAAGTCCTTCAGAAGCTCTTTAATTCCGTCCTCCATGGTGGCACTACTCCGGAGGCGTGGAGCAGAAGTGCGGTGGACTTGTTCTTCAAGAAAGGCGACAACGCTCTCTTGAAGAACTACAGACCGATTTCCCTTATGAGCCGCGTCTACGTGCTGTTTTCGAGTCATTAATCGTCTCGCACGCAGACTGACGACTTCCACCCTCCCGAACAAGCCGGTTGCCGAAAAGGCTTTAGTACCATAGACCACATTACACACCCTTCGGCAAATTGTACAGAAGACAGACGAGTACAATCTGCCACTTTGCCTTGCGTATGTAGACTATGAGAAAGCCTTTGATTCCGTCGAAATTTGGGCGGTGCTGCAGTCCCTTCAGCGGTGCCAAGTTGACTGTCGGTATATCGAAGTGCTGAAGTGTTTGTACAGTAGAGCTGCGATGGCTATCCGAGTACAGAATCAGAGTACAAAACCTATCCAACTGCAGAGAGGTGTAAGACAGGGTGACGTTATATCCCCGAAACTCTTCACCGCTGCATTGGAAGACGTTTTCAAGCTGCTGGACTGGAAAGGATGCGGTATTAACTCACCTTCGATTTGCCGACGATATAGTCCTTATGGCAGAATCGCTGGAGGACTTAAGCATAGTGCATGCTCAATGACCTCAATAGTGTCTCCCAACGGATAGATCTTAAGATGAACATGGATAAAACAAAAATCATGTTTAACTTCCATGTCACACCTATGCCGGTAGTTGTTGGGAGCACTAAGCTCGAAGTTGTTGACCGAGTATATATTACCTGGGACAAATATTCCGACTAGGTAAGTCCAACTTCGACCGAGAGGTCAATCGACGGATTCAACTCGGCTGGGCAGCGTTCGGGAAACTACGACACATCTTCTCGTTAGACATACTTTAAAACCTTAAAACGAAATTGTACAACCAGTGCGTGTTGCCAGTGATGACTTACGGATCTGAGACGTGGTCCTTCACTGCTGGCCGTGTGAGGAAGAAGGAGCAGTGGGCCTGCCATATGGCTCGAGGAACCGACAACCGATGGGGAAGAAAGGTTCTCGAGTTGCAGCCTCATACTGGTAGGCGAAGTGTAGGGCGACCCCCCACGAGATGGAGTGACGGCCTGGTAAGACATATAGGAAGTCGATGGATGCTGGTGGCTCAAGACCGTGCTTTGTGGCATTCCTTGGCGGAGGCCTATGTTCAGCAGTGCACTTGTGAAAGGCTGTAATGATGAATATTACACACGGAGGAACAACTGTACCATAATATATGTAGAAATTGGAGTTATTACAATACCAGCTTTGAAGTATTCTAAAATAGTTTTTAGAATATCTCCATGTTACTTATTGCTAAATAAATGTTAAATATTTAGAACTTTAACTTCCACAAGGTTCCATCCCCCCCCCCCCCAATCAAATCGCGCGCTGTTTAAATATTATGTTTGATATTAATGGTTGTTTCTTTTTGTAAATAAAACACAATAGCATTCATTACATAAACCTTTTATTTATATAAATGTAAAAATATAAAACTCTATAAGTGTATATACAATCAAAAATATTCTTATGTACTCAAGTTAAAAACATAACTTTTACATTTGTTAAAAACCCGTCAATATAATCTCCATGTTATATACTTATTGTTAAATAAATTTTAAATACTTAGAACTTCAAGTTGACAAGGTTCCATCCCAATCAAATCGCGCGCGGTTTAAATATTATGTATTAATGGATGGTCTCTTTTTGTAAATAAAAAACAATGGCATTCATTAAACCTTTTATGTATATAAATGTAAAAATATAAAACTCTTTATAAGTGTATACATAGCCAAAAATATATTTAGGTATAAGTAGGTACCCAAGTTAAAAACATAACTTTTACATTTGTTAAAAACCAGTCAATACACTTACTCTAGATTGTTTTCTTATAAAAATACTTAAATTGAATTAATTTTCTTAATTAAATCCCATTGTTAAATCGTCAGAAAAATCCAAAGTAAACAAAATAACAACTACGGTAAATATTCCAAAATATTATATTCACTTCATACATACATGCAACATACAGTTTTGTTAGGAGCCTAATAACTGAGTATTTGACACTAGTCAATTGAATTACTTTTTATGAATTTTCAAAACACTTCTCTGCTTTAATTCGACAGTGACAAGCTATGTTGATTTATTTATTACACTATATTAGTAATCAGCGCGCCAAAGCGTTGCCACTATGCAGTGCATATATGGCCACAGCCATATGCCCAACTACAGCTAACCAGCGTTGCCAACTCTACCGATTTTTCCGTACATCTAGGTACGGATTTTTTCTACCTACTTCAAAAAAGGAGACGGCACTCAATTCGAATGTATGTTCTTTTTTTATGTGTTACCTCATAACTCATTTCGATGATTTTTTTTATTTGAAACCTGGTGCTTCTCATGTGGTTCCACATAAATTTGATTAAAGTCTGATCAATAGTTTTTGTGCTAATCTTAATAATTTATCGATTGTACAAAATTTTTAATTTTAAATTATTCATCGTCTACGGAATTACGGAATTTGAGTTGAAATCTACGGAATATGAGCTTAAAGCTAAATATTTCGCAAACAGACCCCTGAATCGAAAAGATGTCGTTCCACATTCCAAGTGTTTTTGAAAGACCTATCCAACGATACCCCATATGATGGAATAGACGGGTAAAAAAAACATCTTCCATTTACTTGTATGGGAAGTACCCAAAATAAAAATGCTTTTTATGATTTAATTTCAGTTTTTTAGGCGTGATTAATATCTATAACTATGCCAAATAACAGAGGGTCTCTGAGCAAAACCGCGGACCAAACTATAGGGGTTCCTTGTTGTGTAACTACGGAACACTAAAAAGAATACCTCATTCTAAAACCAATGATACGCTTAACAAATGACTTTATTTTTATCGTAAACCTTTGCCCTAATTTAAAATAATAATAGGATAATAAATGACAATGAGGCTGATTTCGTGAGTACTAACTCAGGTGTACTTGCCACACGAAACGAAGATTCGAACGTTTCAGTAATTGATCCACAGACCACCAGCAAAGTAAGGAAGAGCTAGCTCAAGTAGATCATTCAGCGATAATTCTTCAAATTCCAGTAACAGCTCATCAGATTCAAGCAGTTCTTCGGAGTTAGAACCTGACGTAACTCACGTTCTGCTATTAGATAATTTTCCATAAAGGATGTTTACATACCAACAATAAGAAGTATCTAAACCAGGAATTGATGGCCTCACACAACAGGCATCTATCTACAAAGGGTTGACTAACTAATTATTAAAATTATATATCACTAGTTTTTATGATGTTGCCACACTAACGAGAAATGCCGTTATTTATCGCGTTGATGGACGTTGAATGTAGGTGTGACCACGACTTAATGCGTTATTTTGACAACGGCATTAACAATGACGTTTGCCGTTTCGCGATAACTCGAGTGGCGGTACATCAAAGAGATTGACGCACGAAATAATGCGTTAATGCGGCCACACTACGTTTGTCTCATTGTGCACCATACATGTGTTTCAATTTTTCGTAAAAAAAATCATAAGTCTTCAATTTTTAAGCCAAATTACATGGGTGTAAAATAAATATAAAAAATAAACTTACAGAAATTTTAAAAGGAAATTAAATTTCGAATGGTTGCTTGATTGTTCTGAGCACAATGATAAAAATAAATGCATATAATTATTTCTACTACATGTATATGCATAATACGACACTGTATTTTAAAAAATAGACAGTTCACCGACGAAGCTTCGAAAAAAGCAATGAAAAGAAAAATAAATATTTTAAAACACGCTTACAACTTCGTTTTATTTATTACCTTTCCATAAACATGTATGTATCATGAAAACAAACCGAAATTCAGGTAATTTTTTAAATTAAATACCGGAAAAAAAAAACAAAGCGATGTTTTCATGATACATGCCATAAAATATAATAAAATAAAATCATCAGCTTATCATCAGTTTCAAATCTATCGCGAAAATTAGTTCATGGATCAAAAACTGGCGCACTAGTGTCGCAAGCTGTTTTTTTTTTGTATGAAGTTTTCGTTCTTCCCGTCAGGTTATACGTATTCTGTGTTGTGCACGGTGAGCGCAACGGGGTCGTACGTGTGGCTCTGGTGGAGTGGAATAATGAAAAAGTTATTACGTTTCTTGAGGTTCTGCAAACATATTCTGTGATCCGAAACTCAAAACTTTTAAGAATCGTACATCGCAAAATGATGCTTGGCGACGAATTATGCAATTATTACCTTTTAAAACAACTATCGAAGAAATTAAAAACAAGAAGGAACGCCTAATGGGTTATTATAGAACCCATTTCAACAAATATAGTCTTTGAAGTCCGGAGCTGGCAAAAATGACGTGTATACAACTAATTGGTTCGCATTCGGAGTGACAAACTTACAAACGGCTCTTATTACATACCACGCGTATATAGCTTCCATTTTGCGCTATGGGATAATAATGTGGGGACAAATAGCACAAATATACAAAAGGTTCAAAAAAAGTGTATTCGAGCTATCTCTTGAATACCGCCTGGCATATCCTGTAGAACAGCTTTTGCAAATCTAAACATACCTCCGCTGCCGGCGCTATATATTTTTGAAATAAGCTGCTTCGTGAATAGAAATATCAATTTGTTTATGAAAGCAAGTGACATGAACACAAGATTGAATCAAAATCCTAATAGACTTGTGGAAAATGTTATGCCAAGGTCAGCTAAATAGCATAAAAGTTGCCTACATGCCTTCGGACTACATGCTAGCTGCTCAGCAGTCAGCTCAGTTGGCGCGACGCGCTTGGAAGTTGTGGACGTACAAAGTGTACGTGGGTATTTTTCACCCCTAGCGATAATTCGTGCTACGTAATTTTTCAGTTTTATTTTTGTTATTAGGAATAATAATGTCGCGTCAAAGAGTGACCGATGAAGAAATGTATTTTCAGTTGGACGAAAGCAGTTGTTTTGAAATTGAAGACTGAAGAGTTTAGTGAACAAGAAGGTGAGATTTTTCAAGAGCCGTTACCAGAAATTTTGCTACAGTCACCGTCATCGTCACTTGACATTGCACCTGATTATTTGGACGACGTTCCTGTAAGTAGCTTGCAACGCGGATATTATTTAGGAAAAGATGGTATGACGAAGTGGGCTGTCACAGAACCATCTCAGCGTGTTCGAACTCGTTCACACAATATCGTGTTAGAAGCTCCAGGACCAGAACCAAAAGGTGCCGCCAGGCTGTGCCTAAATATTGTTGATGCATGGAATTTAATTTTTCTTAGTGAAGACTTACAACTTATCGTTGACTGCACCAATCTATATATCGATAAGCGCAAAAAAAATTACCAAAGAATTAGAGACTGCAAACATACCGACGTAACAGAGATCAGAGCTTTATTTGGCTTACTGTACTTCATTGGCACACTTCGAGGAGCCCATTTGAATACTGAATATCTTTGGGCTTCTGATGGCACTGGTTCTGATGTTTGCTTGGTTATAATATCTCTATCTCGGTTTCATTTTCTTCTTGCATGCATAAGATTTGATAATATTCACACACGCATGGAAAGACGTGAGCATGATAAACTAACACCGATTAGAGAAGTTATTAACAATTTTTTACCAGAATAAAATTGCATTACTCTTTGCATGACAAGGTTTGATGAAAAATTAAGAGAAATTTCGTGGACGTTGCCCTTTTCGGCTGTACCTACCGAGCACGCCAGGAAAGTATGGCTTGAAAATTGAAATGTGAACATACTGTTTTTAATCTTATGTGCCAAAGAAAGACAAAGTTGTGCTATTAACCTCTACAATGCACCATGATGCATAAATCTGTTGTGTTTACTGGTGACCAAAGTAAACCAGAAATGATCACTGATTATAATGTCAACAAATTTGTGTGTGTGGTGTTGATGTTGTCGATAAAATGTGTGGCACTTATTCTGTCTCGTATCGCCAAAAGATGGCCATTAGTGGTGTTTTATGGAGTGTTGAATATGGGAGGCATAAACGCTTATATCATTGCGAAAGCGAACGAACAGTGTCAGGATGTGCCCAGACGACAATATATCAAGTCTTTGGCATTGGATCTTATCACTGCCCAGATCAAAAGGCGATTACGTATACCTAATTTGCCACTATAACTGAAAGAAAAGATAAAATTTATGCTTCGGAATGATATAAGTGGGTTGGAGGGCAGCTAAACAACGAAGCCATATGTTATCAGTGATTTTTACATAATTTCTATCATGAATCGTAATAAATAATAATTGTATAATTATCGTTATTGTTTTATAATATTGTTGCGCGCCACTATTAATGTCTTGTACATGGCAACACTAGTTACCATTAGCGCCCTCTAGTATCGAGTAACAGAACTAGGAGAGTCAAGATCCTTCTAGAAATTTCGGGACCGATATGTACTCGAACATACTAGATGTTTCTACAGTAGAAGGTTCTGGAAACTATCTGAGGCCCTATATAAGGCTGATATAGACCACGACCGAGTCAGTATTGAATTGGCGATACAAGAGAATACTTCGAAGCGAAATAACTGCGAACTAAAGTGATCAGTAGTACAATTGTGTTTTATTATTAGTGTGGTTTTAGATTGTAATTAATGTTCTGTAATTAAAGTGTCAATTTTGGTAATTCAATCGGCAGTTTTTAATTGTCTCGAACCCCAAGCTCGTAACAATATTATTTTTTAATTATCAAATATAAAATATATTAAAAGTCACTGTATTGTCATAATAATTATCATTGATAATTTTGTTTATTTCTAATTTAGAATTTGAGATATTTACTAAGAATGTTATAAAATTAATTTCATCTTCTAAGCATTCGTAATTAATTCACTCATCAGTAATATAACTTATGTTCATATTATAAAAGTATTTGGATTGTATAATTCTTACACATTCAAACTGTTGCCAAGTTCAGTTTTGATAGGTAGTAGGGATAAGCTGCCACCATTGTGCGATATTATAAAAACGATTTCAATAATTATTGAATGACTATTCGTGTTGTGAAAGCAAACAACAAGTAATCAAGCGTATTATTACCCTTCCTTACGACTCCTGTAATACATAGTATCGACGTCAAGAAAACGATGTGCTAAGTCTCGATGCCAAGCATGTGCTCCTAAAAAGGATCGAAAGACCAACTCTTGTTGTCAAAATTGTGACAAAATGTTATGTCAGGAACATGCATTAGCCATTTGTTTTGATTGTATTCAAAAAATTAAGTAATTATCACTCAAAATCTCAAAATCCTATTTATCATAAGTCAGGTCAACAGTATCAAGATGATTTTATCATAAAATACTGCAAAACTGCAAACCCGGCCAGTAAAAGATCAGTAAACGGAAGAGGCAATGCCAAAGAAATTAGCATTGTTTATAGTATGAAAGATACCAACCAGGAGACGATACCGGTGTCGCAATTTTTTTAACGCTCCATCTGTTAAAAAAGGTCGGGTCAGAGGAGTGTTAAAGAGACACAAAGATACAGGTTTAATGGCTATTGAAAAACGTGAGGGAGATAGAAGGTCGATTAAAAACTTTGGATTGAGAGAAGCAATAATTTCATTCATAAAGAAATTCAAGGGTGTTGAATCGCACTAATGCCATACGAAGAGCCGGCGTACCTATTTGCCATCAGAGTTGAGCATTGCATCAATGTTTAAAATGTTCATTGAAGAAAATTCTCAGTACTCTCATTACAGTCATATTTCAGAAGAAATTTAACATAAGCTTTAGTCATCCAAGAAGTGACGTGTGTTCCACTTCCCTAGAGTTGAAAGAAAAAATGAAAATTGAGAAGGATGATTCAGCTAAGGCTAATCCTAATTGAACTGCAAGTTCACGAAAAATAAAGCAAATCATTTTGCAACTTCCTGGCAGATACCGACCCCAAATTAAAAATATTATCGTTTGTTTGTGGTAAATACCAACCATTACCAAAAGTCTCCGACCAAACCTTATATTATTCCCGCCAGCTATACTTATACAACTACATAATAGTTGTGGGTCATTCCCATGCAGATCTGACGAAAGAAAATGTGTTTTCTTACGTATGGACCGAAGATGTTCATGGAAAGGGGTCAAATGAACTATCTATAGTCGTATTTTTAATTAGACGAAGCCAACTGACAGTAGCTAATGTCACTTTGTAAAATAATGTTGCCATATTTAAAGTAATAGTGATGCGTTCAGTTCTCGTTCAATCAGATGAATGAACAATGAGTGTGTATAGTTAATCATTTCAAACTATAAAAGAATATTATTTCTATTTTACAATAAAATTGTATAAAAGTGCTCTGATATAAGTTACTAGTAGTATGTAACTACAATCAGTTTTTTGAGGTTTTATTACAAAGCGCGGCGCGGCGACTACTGCCAACACCGATCAACGCCGCGCGCGTCGGTCGCCATTTTGTTTGTTATTCGGCTTCTAACCTCTGGTCTGATAGCACGAATGTTTTTTCTGCGCTCACGCTGTTTAGTTATTGTTTTTGTTAAGTTTTTCGTTACGTTGTGTTTGTGGTAATTGTTGTGTTTATTTGTTGCTATATTGTTTCGTACAAATGATATGGATCCTCAACCAAGCACGTCAAGCCAAAGCTTGTCTCCAAGAAAGAAGAGACCACGGATTGCTTTAAGCGTTACCGAAAAACTTATGATACAAAACGTCTACAAACACGTATTTGAGGAAAAAGCTGCTTCACTATTACCTATTGAGGCCCCCGAAAAAAAAGAATGTGTTTCGAAAACAGCTGACATTTTGGGAATTGGTGTGATCTCAGTTTACAGTGTGTTAAAAGAATGCAAAGAAAATGAACAATTTAAGTCTCCCGAGAAACGTGGACCGAAACACAGTTTCAAAGATAAATTAGACGATTTTACTTTTGCCGCTATAAGGCGAAAAGTACATAATTTTTTTTATGCAAATGAGTCACCCACCATTATAAAGGTAACTTAAACTTTATTCCTTCTACTGCATTATATTCTGTGTCCACCATAATGTTCTTTGTAAAACCAAAGTATTAGATTGCGTAGACTTCCTTACTCAAAACATATTTTTATTACTTTACAGATTCTTAAGGTTGTCAATGAAGACCCAGACTTACCCAATTTTTCTTGGAGTACATTAAGAAATGTTATGAAACATTTAAATTTCAAATATGTCACAAAATCAAGACACAGCATTTTAATTGACAGACAGGACATTATTCTATGGCGCCAGCGATACCTTCGAAAAATTAAAGAGTATCGAAGGGAAGGAAGGTATATTTATTACCAAGATGAAACCTGGATCAACGAAGGTAATTACAATTTTCTGTTTTCTTTACATTAAATTGTACTTTCAATAATTAATTGATATTTTTCACTATCTTGAAGGTCATGCACCGAAGAAGGCATGGATTGACCAGACAGTGTTATCGTCCCGCCAGGCCTTCCTAGATGGCTTGACCACTGGCTTAAAACAGCCTTCAGGAAAGGGCAAACGATTAATTATCGGCCATATAGGCGGGGAAGAAGGATTCGTAGAAGACAGCTTATTAATATTTGAAGCCAAAAAAAATAAAGAAGATTATCATCAAGAGATGAATGCCGATTCCTTTGAGAAGTGGTTTAGGGGGGTCTTGCCAAAACTAAAACCAAATTCCGTAGTAGTGATGGATAATGCCCCCTACCACTCCAGGAAACTAGAATCGCTGCCTAAAATGTCTTGGACTAAACCTAGAATACTAGAGTGGCTAACGAGCAAAAATATTTCATTCGAAGCAACAATGGTTAAAGCTACTCTTATAGACATTGTACGGCAGCACAAGCAAGAACATTGCGATAAGTATGTTGTGGACGAGATGGCAGCGCAGCATGGGATAATTGTTTTACGTCTGCCCCCATACCACTGTGAGCTCAATCCCATTGAGTTGGTATGGGCGCAGGCTAAAGGATATGTTGCAAGAAATAACAAAACCTTCAAAATGACAGAAGTAAAAAAACTTTTTGAAGAAGGACTTCAACATATCACACCTGAAAAATGGAATAGCTGCGTGTCTCATATAATTAAAAAAGAAGACAAAATGTATGGTCTCGACCACAATTGACAATGTTACTGACAGATTTTTAATTAATGTCACCGAAAGCGATAGTGATGATTTTTTATCTGATAATGAATAAAAACAAATTATGTAATAAGCGATTTTTTTATTCTCATTACCTACCTATAATTGTTATATTTTATACATCTATAGTTTCAACTACATGATGTATTGAAAATAGGACAGTCTTACAAGTTTCCTCGCAATATTTTCCTTAATGTTTAAAACACTCGGTATTCAGTATAGGTAGATATTATAGGAACATAGTCGTCGAAAACTCGTTGGTATGTACAAAGCACGACTAAAATTCGAACCCCGTACCCGATATCGGCAGTTCAGCACACTAACTATTCACTAGACAATCGAGGCAATTTCATTAATTCAGGAGTTTTTCAATCATTCACTTTGTCACAACACTATTTTTATTTCATCAAAAACTGACAACACAGTAAACGTCAGTTGACTTCGTCTAATTAAAAATACGACTATAGTGCACTGTATCACTGCTTACAAAATAATTT